ACAGACTGCTATGAAAATGATGGGGGTTAAAAAACATCCATCTCTCCAAAACATATAAAGTCCATTATTAGACAGGCACAAAAAAGATGGATCCCACCCACATTCTCCACCCAGAATTCAAGCTGCTACCTTCTGGTAGAACACATGTCAAACTCAAGGCCCGGGGGCCAAATCAGGCCCTTGGTGGATTTAATTTCGGCCCGCAGGATAATTTGTAATTACTATTAGATCTGGCCCGCCGGTATATTGCACGCACACCTTCACTCCATCCTGAGGGTCTCCTCAGCTCAGAGCCTGACCCCAAACATTGATGACCTTGCACCCAAGATGAGATGCCAAGTATCTGCTTGAACTAGCATCACAGAGCAGCAACCTGAGTTTAATGGATGTTTCCTTCTGCACTTTCTTTCTTGAGACAACAGGGCATGTTTGGTTTTGTCTTCGAGGGAAATTGTTTTGTTGAAGCTGTTGTTGGCCTGTGGGAAAATGTAATCATAAGAAATGACTCTGGAAAAGCTGCAGATAGAGCCATAAGAAATGAATGCAACTGATTATTTAATGTTTAATGTTGTTTTTATAGGCAATCATTTAAGCTTTGTTAGTCCCAGGTTTAATATGTGCAATAAGTTCATTTCAATAAGTTCTGCAATTAACATTGAACCAGTCCGGCCCTCGACTAGTACCCATTTTTTAATTTTGGCCCACTGTGTATTTGAGTTTGACACCCCTGTGGTAGAATATTCAGAGTTCCCAAGAGCATACTATAAGCAGTCATTCCTGCCTCTGTCCATTAAGCTTCTCAACACTCACATGTAGTGTAATATATATTTAAATGTTGGCCATGAGGGTTGTGCAACTGGTCGTCATTGTCAGTAGGTGCGACTGTGTATTGTGTTTGTGCAAAGGGATAATCTGCTAATGTCTTTTAATGTTAACTATGTTTGTATACGTACAAGTCTTTTTATATTTTTCTTTTTTACCTACTATTGCAACTTATTTTCTTAGATAGTTTATGCTTGTACCACCAGACACCAAAGCACATTCCTTGTATGTGTAACGTACCTGGTAATAAACTTGATTCTGATGTATGTGGAACTGCAGGATGGAGTCCAGAACAAATGTCCTTTCGGGGACAACAAAGTATATCGTATCATATCGTAACAGAACAAATACAGGAAATACTTTTAAACGTAAAAGTACTGCTTTGAAAAGGATACTCAAGTAAAAGTAAGTATAATCAGCGAAGTCTGCTCAAACTCAAAAGTAATGTAGAAAACTCGACTCGACTGTCTTGACTTTGTTTTTTTAATAATATTTTGTATTTAACATATTCAATTAATTCATCATTTGTTGTCAGTGTCCTTGATTGTGGACCTTTTGCATATTTTGCATTCAAATCACTTTTTTTTTCATGGTCATTCTAAAATAAGTCCCACTCATATTTGCCATGTTTTTCCGCTGCACGTCCACAAGTCACAGACAGTTTTAAATCCATTAAAAGCAGCTCAAGGACAAAGCGCTGCCTCTCAGAGCATCCGGAGTATTTCAGGTCCTGTTAATATGACTTTACTGCACAGCTAATTAGAATTTTAATGAGACTATTTTTCACATTTTTCACATAAATCCCAACGGAAACGTTCTTCTAACGGTGAAACAAAACTTATCAGACGATGTGCAGTCACATTGAGAAGTAAATGAGGGCAGTATGAGGTCGTATAAGATAGGTGTTTTGAAACAGGTTTCCTATAACAATACAGTATGCAAATGCACATCTTTATCACATTAAATAAGTCAAGTTAGAATACAGCCACTGACAAAAACAGCACATTTCTTTATGATTACTTTTAAGGTTTTTATTATGTGGATTATTCTAATTTATACAAATATTCTTAGGTAAATAGTTTTTTTTTTAGTTGACAAATTTAATTTTTAATAGCTTCCAAGTTGCATTAATGCCGCACCGATTTCTACACGCAAAAAGTAGGTTAATCTTCTTGTATGGGAGTTTTGAGCTGTATTTTATATGCATTTTTTGATATCATTTTATATCACTAGCTTCCATGTTATCCTAAACCTGTGTCAATAGATTTAATATCTTTTGGGAATATTTGTAATGAAAATGTTGCATTTATTTGCTGAAAAATTTAATTTCTTTCAATACCATCCAGAGATGAAGTAATTACCAACACGACACTGTACATGTGTACAACACGATGAAGTTAAGGAACTGTGTGTGTGTCCTAGCATTACTATACTTGTGGGGACCTAAATCTGTCTACACCGTCATGTGTGGGGACTCGCCTCCCTTATGGGGACAAATTGGAGGTCCCCATAAGGGGAATCATTAATTTTAGGGTGAAGACTTGGTTAGGTTTAGGGTAAGGGTTAGGGTTAGGCATGTGTTGGTTATGGTTAAGGTTAGGATAAGTCTCCAGGAAATGCATGTAAGTCAATGTAATGTCCCCTGAAGTGATGTATACATGGTGTGTGTGTGTGTGTGTGTGTGTGTGTGTGTGTGTGTGTGTGTGTGTGTGTGTGTGTGTGTGTGTGTGTGTGCGTTTACAGTGTGCTGTGCAAAGTGCTGACTCACTACAGTTTAGGATCCGTTTGCACTTTGCTCTTGTGTTTGATCATCACTTCGTGTGGGTAGAGAAGAGTCTTAAACCAACAACAGATAAAACTGCTACAGTATATATAATAAGCAATATAAATGTATGGCTCCTGATGTAAAAATGTAAGCATTTACCAACAGTAGAATCACTGACATCCAAGGAAAAACTTTTCTTTAAATAAATATTTTATTTGAAAATAAATACATTTTCTTAAAATAGAATCAATAACATTACAAAAGCTTTGTGGAGGTGGGACAGGAAGAGGGGGGGGTTACCCAAATGAATGATGTGTTGTAATTTGGAACAAGGAGTACAATCTCACACGTTTATCTACCATCTGAAGACGCCACCACGTGTGCATTCTCCTCTGCATCGTGGGAAAGTGTTGGCATCCCGAACATGCAGTCCACCCATAAACCATCCCTTAACCCACACTGAATCTACACACCAGTTTGTAAAAATGTAGGATATAATCTCTCGTTAACACATCGAAAAATCAGCCACTGATTTACATTTACATCTGACAATGTTTTTTATCGGCAAAAAAGTACCTTAAATGTGTGTTCACCTCTAGTCTACAGTACAAAGATACGATACACAAGAAGGCTGCGCTTTGTCATACAGCGGTAATCAGAGGTCTCTAAGGCCAGGAGGATTTTCTGCGAGCTCGTAGGCAGGAAGGCGTCTCTTTTCTGCCTTTAAAACAGCGAGTCAAAGCCCAGTGTGTGAGTGAAAAGGAGGCAGATCTTCAGAAAGACAGAACATTGAAGAGTGATGCAGGAATGAGTCCTAAAACCAGGAAACTAGTTAGCATTTTAGCACTTCTGGGCTACCTTCAATGGTTTTTTTGAGCGTGTTTTTGGTTGTTAGCCTCAAATAAGGTCTGTGATTAACACAAGCTGAAGAGATTTGATTTCTATGACATAAAATACGTCAGTAAATAAATACCCCACTGGTGGATTTAAACACAGCGGTTGCTAACAAGTGTGTAAATGAGACGACTAAACGTCATCACGCTCAACATTAGCCGCCTTTAGCTTAGCAGGCGTGACATGAAGTCATGTGACCGTGCTGTAGTTCCTTTACAGCCCAACATTAGCCGCCTTTAGCTTAGCGGTGGTGACATGAAGTCATGTGACCGTGCTGTAGTTCCTTTACAGCCCAACATTAGCCACCTTTAGCTTAGCGGTGGTGACATGAAGTCATGTGACCGTGCTGTAGTTCCTTTACAGCCCAACATTAGCCGCCTTTAGCTTAGCGGTGGTGACATGAAGTCATGTGACCGTGCTGTAGATCTTTACAGCCCAACATTAGCCACCTTTAACTTAGCGGTGGTGACATGAAGTCATGTGACCGTGCTGTAGTTCCTTTACAGCCCAACATTAGCCGCCTTTAGCTTAGCGGTGGTGACATGAAGTCATGTGACCGTGCTGTAGATCTTTACAGCCCAACATTAGCCACCTTTAGCTTAGCGGTGGTGACATGAAGTCATGTGACCGTGCTGTAGTTCCTTTACAGCCCAACATTAGCCGCCTTTAGCTTAGCGGTGGTGACATGAAGTCATGTGACCGAGCTGTAGTTCCTTTAAAGCCCAATGTTAGCTTTGTACTTCAGAAATCATAACGTGGTGTTAATATGTGGAGATTTTCCTGCTGAACAAAACGTGAAAGTATCATAAACGTTTGTTTGACAGAGAGATTATTTTCTGCATAATCCAAAATACACAATGCTACCTTCAGGGTCGGCCTACAAAAATACGTCATCTCTGCACCACTCCACATCGCCGCCCTGACCCTCTAACAGCACCACAAATAGCTTTAAACCAGTGCAGGACGTTTTCTCTCCACCAGCCTACAGCAGCAAAGCAGCAACCTTGACAAAAACCTAATTACCAACTGCACAAAAAAAAGCCCTACAGAACATGTCCGTTTTATAATTATTGAGTCATTGGAGAATGTGCAAGCCGACCTCAATTAAGACAAGCATGTGAGAACGTGTAATTTAAATGTAATCAGTGGAAAAGCAGCGGCGTAAGCTAATCTAGGGCAAGAACAACAACTTCTGCACGCTCTGTGCTCCCTTCTGCAGAATACAAAATCAATGCCACAGGTAGCAGATTTAAATAATGATTAAGCTAAGTGCTGCGGGGAGTGGGGGGGGGGGTGCATCCACACATTGTGTCCACAGTTTAAGACCTCTCTCCGATCTCCTTCAGCTCCCAGGGTTTAAAGGAGGACGTCGTTCAGCGGGTTTTAAATGCCTCACTGCACTGACCACACACAAACACACCGATTCTTCAACTACACACTTCTTTTTTTGTCTTTTTGGAAATAAAAACCCATCTCAGAACTGTGAGTTCACCCTTTTTTTGTTTGGCTTTTCTAGATCTTGTAACAGGCCACAGTTATTTCTCCCTCATTTAAGATTCTTGTTATCCTGCAAAAGCAATAACCCCAACATTTGCTTTTGTCGTGGACAGAGGCCATTTCCTAAAAGATAAATGCTTTGTTTCTAAGCCGACTTCTCGAAGCAATGCGCTACTTTTCCCGATGATTCAATCACAGTTAATTAGCGCAGAGCAGATGCAGTGCGTTTAATGATTGCTGATTTAATCCAGAGTCAGGTAAATGACACTGAATGAATCAATACAGCACATTTCACCCAGCCAATCCCAGATAAACCTCATCAGGAAAGCAGCACATCCTCCTGCCTTTCATGGAAATGTGGACGTTTTATTTTTTTTGTAGGAACTCAGTTTTTGAAGAGCCAGCCTTCAATATGCACGTCGGAAACAGAATCCCTTCATTCTTGTACAAACAAACTCAAGAGGACTACCTTTTAAAAATGTCTCTGCTACTGTTTGAAGGTGTCAGTTAGAGGATGTAGCAGATCCCGATGGATAGTCTTTTCAGGCCTGCGTTTGTTTTAGATATCCCAAAGCCTTAGCAATGCAGGCACATGTGCTGAAGGGCCAGATGGGTCCAAACAGGACGCCTCGTCAATTCAGCCGAAGATCTTCCTGGCAACGGCTCAAAGAGGAGAAACCCAGTGTGCTTTCCTCAGTGTCAACGTAAAGGCGGCAGAAACACAGAAACAGCCGTACAACAGAAACAAGAGATTGTCTCCTCCTCGCTGTGCTACTCATTCTTTGGGGGGGTCGTCCAGTCTTAAAACAAAGCAGCTTGGTTCTCAGCAGCTCACCGTGCTCGGCTGCTGTTTGCACACAAAGTCTGAAATGAAGTCGAACTCGTTCTGTCCCAGGTAGAGCTCGGGCAGCTCCTGAACGCGGTCCAACCCGAACTCCAGCACCAGCGATGTCAGCACCTCCTCGTCGATCAGATCCATGTCAGTGTTTTGTCCCTGAGGTCCTCCGAGGTGCTGCATGCCTGAATGAAGCTGCGCCGGATTCACCCGGTACTGAGCTCCGTTCTGCATGTGGTGACCGTTCGAAGCCAGAGGGTGTCCGTGGTACTGCGTGTTGAGTTTCTGCAGGTGCATGCTGGCCATCAGCTGCTGGGAGGTGAGGCTTCCGGGGATGTACTGCTGTGGGTGTCCCTGTTGCTGTTGTTGTGGATGCCCCTGTTGTTGTGGTTGTTGTTGTTGTTGTTGTTGTTGTTGTTGTTGTGGGTGTCCCTGTTGTAATTGTTGTTGTGGATGCCCCTGTTGCTGTTGTTGTTGTTGTTGTTGTTGTTGTTGTTGTTGTTGTTGTTGTTGGGGGTGCATGTGGTGCTGCTGCTGCTGCCCGTTGTACATCATGTTCCCGGACATCATCTGGTGGTGGTGGTTGGCCATCGGAGCAGCATTCACGGGGGCCATGCCTCCGGGGCCCACCATGCCCTGCCGCTGCCTCATGGCGGCCTCCATGTTGCTCTGAGGGTTTCTCCCATAATGCATCACCTGGCCGTTGTGCATAGTGCGCAGGCCGGGCTGACCCTGGTGCTGCGGGGGTCCATTCATGCCCATCCTGAAGCCGTGCTGCATGGGCATCATCATGTGTTCAGCCATGGCCTCGATCGCCCTGGAAAAAAAAATTACAGAAAATTAGATTTCAAATATAACCCATTATAATTACAATATGCATCATGCCTAAAATACCCATGATTTAAAGGGGCCCAGTTCTGCTTTTTGGGGTTTTCCCCCTCTCTTGTCAGGGGGTGTATAGGTTTTAATGCATGTAAATGATCTGCAAAGGCTAAAATCCCAGTGTTCCCTCCAGAGGGAGTTTCTCCCCCCACACCCACCCACCCACCGCCTGAAACGCCTCCATTGGATCGCTAAGCGGTCGACCAATCACAACAGAGCCGGCCAGCTAACCAATCGGTGGGCTCTGGTTTCAGACAGAGGGTGAAAAGAGGTGCTGCAGCACAGGCAGTATGAGAAAAATAAAGAGCTTTTTGAACATTAAAGCATGGAGACATGTTCCAGTAGAGACACTACATACTGATATACACCTGAACATCAGCAGGAGAGGACTCTTTAAAGTAGAGACACTACATACTGATATGAACCTGAACATCAGCAGGAGAGGACTCTTTAAAGTAGCGCCACTACATACTGATATAGTCCTGAACATCAGCAGGAGAGGACTCTTTAAAGTAGAGACACTACATACTGATACACCTGAACATCAGCAGGAGAGGACTCTTTAAAGTAGAGACACTACATACTGATATACACCTCAACATCAGCAGGAGAGGACTCTTTAAAGTAGAGACACTACATACTGATATGAACCTGAACATCAGCAGGAGAGGACTCTTTAAAGTAGCGCCACTACATACTGATATAGTCCTGAACATCAGCAGGAGAGGACTCTTTAAAGTAGAGACACTACATACTGATACACCTGAACATCAGCAGGAGAGGACTCTTTAAAGTAGAGACACTACATACTGATATACACCTCAACATCAGCAGGAGAGGACTCTTTAAAGTAGAGACACTACATACTGATATGAACCTGAACATGAGCAGAATATGTCCTCTTTAAATGGGCAAATTCACAATTTCCCTCATGAAGTGCAGCCTACTCAACACCAGGAGTGCTACTCAGCCTGGTTTCATATCGTACTAAAGTGAATATCTTTGGACGTTGATCATTTTCTGACATCTTATAGACCAAACTATTAAAACATGAAGTTATCCACAGATTAATTAATGAAGGATGATAACTGTGAGTTGCACATCCAAAGGGCTTTACAATATAGACAAGACTCTATGGGACATGTCACTATTAGAATAGTTCAAATGTTCTGCCCCAAAAGAGCCTTAAACATGAGTGAAACATACTTTTAGTAATATTTGTATACGACAGAAAGATGAAAAAACGATATCTTAACTGCAGAAGATTATCCAATAAATGTCAGAAACACCCCCAAAAAATGAGGAGACTGCACTGTTGAGAACATTAAAAACATTACAGTCGGCCATGTTTGTTTTTTTCAATTGGTGTTGTGAGCCTGGAAAGCTCAAATGTGAAAATTAGAACATTTGACCAGAAAGAAAAATGAAATCCGAGTTGACCAAATTGCAGAATCATTGTAAAATCAAAAACATAAATTGACTAATCAAATTAATCCCATATATCCCCCAAAGCCTTCGATGTCACCAGGGTTTCCTGAGTTTGCTTTGCGCATATTTTAAACCACATTTTCATCACAAATATGAGCATTGAAGAGGTATGGACGATCAAACAAGGAAACAGCCACTATCCAAATTGCATTATAGGAAATGCAGTATACAATGTTTTGGGATTTTTTACCCAAACTAGAGATTAAAAATCAAATATCTCAGCTTCAATTCAGCCCACTAATACTAAACCACTGGAGTTACCCTTTGAAAACACTCAATCTCTGTTGAAACTCCTTCTCTAGTTTCTATTTCTCTTCTTGAACCAAATCAGAAGTATCTTCTTTTCTTTTTTTAAACACTCATCTCTAACCTCCACACCAGTGAGTGTATTATCACACCGACGAGGGAGGGCAGTAATACCCTTGCTTGCAGCCAAAAGGACGCAGAGGAATGCTCCCCCTCCCCAAACCAGTCATTACAAAAAGATCTTCAATTAAGATTACCAACAGATGACAAACAGTTTCACACTGAAACTCTAATGTGCTTTGATTGGCTTGTTAAAGCGTTAAGCGATGTTAGCTGATAAAACAAGACACTTCCCTGTCCAATAAAACCCCGATACAATTATGCTCTGGAGCTTCTCATTCAGACACTTTCGAAAAAATGACAATATAACACAAGCATGAAACCATGTAAGGTGAAATCTAATCATTATTCTATGATCCTCCCAAATGTACTGTTTCTGCCTCTTCAATTGAATCCTTTTGGCTGATAAAACAAGACACTTCCACCTCCAACAACAGACTAAATCCTCCTTAAAATCATGCTCTGGAGCTTCTCATTCAGCCACTTTGTAAATGACGTGAAGCATGAAACCTCTTTTTTCTCTGCAAGGTGAAATTCATTACTTTATGATCCTCCAAAAATGAACAGTTTTTTTACCCCTGAACCGATTAAAGCAATTGAATCCTTTTAGCTGATTTGTACATGTCCCTGCTGTGGGACAAATAAAGGAATTCTGATTCTGAAGACACTTCCAGATCCAGTAACAGCCTAAAGTCCTCCTAGAAATGATCTGATTCAGCCACTTTGTAAATGACATTATTAAACAAGCTGCCATGTAACGCTGCAAGGTGAAATCCAATCATTACTTTATGATCCCCCCAACAAAATTAACTGAATGCCCCTGCAATGCAATGCAATGCTTGGAGCAATAACAGCCTAAAATCCCCCTTAAAAGCATGCTCTTGTTACCTAATTATATCGCTTTTAAATCCCACGAAAAGGAACTGTGTTTCCCTTACTGCTTGAATCAATTGAATCTTTTTTAGCTGATAAATCCTCCTTAAATCAGGCTCTAATGTTACCTAATTATATCCGTGTAGCTTCTCATTCAGCCACTTTGTAGGCTAAATGACATGAAACCATGTAACGCTGCAAGGTGAAATCCAATCATTGCATAAAACAGTCCGCGGTGCGAAACCCTGTTTAAGGAGGCAACACAGGAATAAAAACAGCACCTACCCGATGTTTAAATGTTGATTTGTGGAGAAGTTTCCGTACCGAAGGGGGGGTCTCTGTGCAGCTGGTGATCCGGCTACATGCAGCCTTCCAGCGGATAGGAACTGTGCGGCGTCTCGGCAGTCAGTTTGTTTTCTGGGTCAACTCAGGGATTATATGCATGTGGTATAAAGCCGAGAGAGGGAGAGATAGGGAGGGAGAGAGGAGGAGCCAGCGTCCCTCTTGTCTCCTTTGTTGCCATTGGTCCTCCCCCTTAATCACTGAGCAAAGAAACACTCACTCTAACCTCCACTGATCCTCCGAGCAGCAGATCACTGTGACCGGGGGAGAGAGATCTGTGTCCGGGGAGAGAGCTGCCTCTAACCCGCCGGCCTTCACCACCCTCTCCCTGTAATGATCCATAATGATCCATACTGTGTTACCGCCGGAAATATGTCTGTTTATATCGCAGGGATCATGTTTAACGACCACTTCCTGCTCCTGGGAAATGATATGTTGACATGTTGCATTACACTGGAGTTGATCTATGAACACTCCTCATCAACAAACTCCTACTAATTTTTTAACATCATTTAAAATCCTTTACAGACCAATACAATAGACATATAAAACCAACAATAACATACATAAAATCATGGAACATAAGACCTGATAAGAAGAGTAACAACTTATTAGTTGACATATTAAGTAAGAACTCATATTGAATACCACATATTAAACCTATTTACACCTCCAGTTGAATAAGCTGCTGGCTGTGACTGAAAGCTATGTTGCATGACACCAAAACAACAAGCTAAAAGATGCTAAAAAGCTTCATAAAGTTATGCGAAAGTGCTGAAGTTAAGTGATCACTCTCAGTATAGGTTTAATAACACCTTTCACATAATTTGATCCTTTATTCAATCATCAGGATCCTTTATTTATCCCAAAACGGGGAAATGTACATTGTAACAGGAAAGGGACGGTGCAGATAAGAGGAACACACAATCAGTAGACTAACAAATCAAATAAGTACATGCAAAAAAGTAAACTCTTTAATAATCATGTTTTGCAGTCCAAAACTTGATTTTCCGTTCTCCCAAGATATGTCTGTGCTATGTTATTTGTAAGTGTTTGCTGCAGAGGCTCAGAGGAACACGTCTGTGTAAGCTTCAATTAAGTTGGATTGGACATGGATTGAATATCCGCAGGGTTAAAGTGTTATTTACAAAAAAATCTATTCAGGTATAAAAGAAACAACCTTATCGACCAGAGGGAAACAATTGCCAATAAACATTATCGCTGCAGCATTTACATTCCCTTCAGAAAGTGTTAAGCAAAACCACTTGGTGTAAATATGTTATTTTTAGCAGATTGCACAAGCACACTGTAGAAGCCAAAACCAAAAATGTGATGACACAACAGAAAATCCCACAAAATACAACTGTGATGGTTTGGAAGAAATGCCAACATTACCCAAGCAGAATTGGTTTTGTCTTGGGGATTTTTATGGAAATTACTATTAGAATTTGTCAAGATTAAAGAGTATCTTGACACTTTTTAACAATGTGTTAGCTATGTGCCGCTCCAATATCAATGGTTAACTTGGCAGTGAAATATTTACAATCCAAAGGTTAGACATCCTTAAAATAGTGCTTTCACGTGATTTATTCTGATGTACCACTATCTGAAAACATACTTACAATGAATACACTGCACTTCTGTGGGCTATAACTTTAAAGCGTCTTTGGGTTCAAGAAAAGCGCTATAGAAATAACATATATTATTATTATAACTGACCTTACTAAAAAAAATCCTGTTTTCTTTTAGCTCAGAGAGACTCTGTCCCCAAGAAAATGTCAATTTGTGGCTTCATTTTCATGGAGTTAAAGAAGGTTATGTTTGAAACAACAAAAATGGCATAACCTTCCTCCTTCAAAATAGAGCAATAAAAGGCCCCACAGTCAATTCAATCCACTTTTGCTGCACCAGGCTAACTCGGTACTAAAATTGCTTTTTGAAGCTGTAGGGAAGAATTGACACATATTCAACCTTCCTGTTGACGAGTAATATAATTTGACACTGTCGGCAGGTGAAGCTGTCCTGTCAACAGTGTCACTGACATCTATACAAGGTCTAAGGTATTTTCTTTAGTCACATAACCACATAACTGGAAGCCATGACTAGATTGCCAATTATACTCTGTTAAAGTTTGTTGTGTGAAGCCCCAAAAACTAAAGGTTTACAAAGTTCAACTTAAAACAATTATTTGGACTTAAAGAAGTGACTTTACTGTACCAGAAATATGTAACTAGCTGCTCCTTTCTGCAGACAAGAGGTGTAAGGCATTAGGACAGATGGAAGACTGACTGAACTGTTTGCAGTCCAGTTGCATTGAAGAAAAATACATGGTAATCAAAAGGATATCTGCTGCTGGTGACTATTTTGTAACTGTACATTGTTGGCAATGATATTGGAATGCAATGATACAAGGCTAAATAAATGCTTTATAATATCACTATAAGAATTATAATAGCAAGCCTATCTGAAATAAAAACGGTATTTCCTGGAATGGCCACTTGAGGCTGGCTCCAAAAGCGAGTCACTCCCCATAGACCTTCATGTTAAAATTCCCAACTGTACAGCAGAAATAGACATGTGTCTCTATCGCTAATTTCCCTGTTCATGACTACTGTAAACCGTAAATTGCATCTTAATCACAGACATAATATGGCTTGTTGTATTTCTAACTGTACCAACAACCAACTGTCTATGAAGTCTGTGCCCCGGTGAGTAAAGTTATTATTTCATTTAGGCCTTTACGTTAGCATTAACAGGTAGCGGTGTCTGCGCTCATTATACCTGGCTTGTTAGCTTAGCCGTTGTACTAAAAACACACACAAAGATGAGGGTTGTTTATTTATTCAATGAAACACATTAGAATCACACCAATTATTTTGTTAAACAACATTATAAAACAATAGAATTTCACAATTAATATCACATTTAACATGAACTAGGGACACTTTAATAACCAAGCTAGCTAGCTAGTTAGCGCTAGCTTGTAAAGGTTTGTTATGCTAACGGAAACTAACGTCCATGTACCTCAAATATGTACTTGAGTACCGTACTAAGTTGAGTCAATGTATTTAGTAACTTTCCACCACTGCATCTTTATAATATTATATTTTAGAGACTGTCATTCTCTCTGAAGTGCTGCTGCAATCAAACAGAGTAAAAAGGTCCCCACCCAGCCTGATGGTAATACCTTTTATATAAACAGTCATTGGTTAATACTAGTTTACATCTGAGAAACAAAAGGAAATCAAAGGCAGTAATCCACACAGCACTCTGCCAACAACATCAACATCTCTTCAATGGAGAGCATTTTAAATCTTTAAGACTAACCCACTTACCACCATTACGGTTTGAGCATTATAGTCGTCTAATCCTAGAGTATCAGAAGAGTTTTGCAGTCATAAACCCACCACATGTATCTATTTCTCAGTCACCTAAATACAGAAATCTACCCAAAAAATATTTTGTTTCTTAGGTTATTTAGTTATCTTCAAACAACATTACATTACATGTTACTTGTTAGACGCTTTTATTGAAAGCGATTTACATACTCAATACTGTGGACAATCCCCAAATCCCCCATCAATTTAGCGAAAATTAAGGCTATTAAAAAGTATTAAACGGCATTTTCCAAGGTATTACATTTTGTAGCTTGTTTTCAATAAGTATATAAATGGTCCAAAGAGGTTGTATTCTACAGTGTGCCTGAATGTAATCATTGCGTAGGTGTGTAGTGTGATTCTGTGTAGTTTATTGATGGCATCCCGTTGGATTTGATGTCATCTGAACAGGACATCGCGCGCTCACTGCTTGATAGCGCGCGGAGGTCCGTTTACGCCGGTTGTTAAACAGCATCGTTATGGGGAAATACAAGTTTGCGTCAAAATGGTTGTAAGATAAGGAGGAAGGACAATCAATACTGTATATAGTCAATGTGAGGTAAAGTGTGTCGCCAATGTAACCGGTTAAATCTCCAAGTGGCGATGAGGTTTAAAATGTATGAAAAGGTTACATTTGACTTAAGGATTCCTGCTATACCCTGTGACTGCAGTGGGATTTGACCATGTGCTCCCCTGATACGAACACCAACATACTAGTCCACTACGCCACAGCCTCCCTACAACAAGCACAATACAAGTTAATCCACTTTAGAGTCTACCCTTATGTGGAAAAACTGTGAATGACAGGAAGAAATTGAGTAAAAGATCAGATTCACTTCCCTGCCTCGTGCACCAGATTTGAGTTTTGAGTCAATTTCGCAGAAACAAACCCCCCGTGGAGCTAACTATCCCTTAAACACTTATGCAACCGACTCATTTATGTCTAACAAAATCAATTAAAATCTTTTTCCTCAGGGTTTTAAACAAAGGTCGAGGGTCAGGGGCCCTTCAAGGGGTACCAGACAGGCATAATGGTGGTGGTGGCTACAGGAAAACAGCATAAGCATATTGCATAACTTGATATGAAATCTGACTTTTAAAAATATGGTTTCTGAATTTGAAACACTTAAGTTAGTGTTTTAGATCATTATAAATACAAATGTGAAATTCCAAAATAGGTGAAAAAAGAATTGAAAGTATGGTTCCTGGTTCCTAGCAATGAAAACAAATAGAAATTCAATATACATTTATTTTCTTTTTACCAACATTAGTTGCTGTTTAGCACACGTTACATATATTTTTGGGATTACAGATAGCTTCAGTTATTTAGTCAATGTAGAGGTGATGATTTCTGAATGGTTTTTAAGGTTAAAACATTTCATGAATCCACATATTTTCAGATTAAAAACAATATGTTTATTTTCAGGTTGAATTTCACCTGAGATCAGTTTGAAGTATATTGCATGTAGCTGTTCACCCGTGATTTTCAAATGTATTAACTATCTTCGATTTCATTTGCATTGATGAAAACCTAAGAGATACCGATAAGCCATCAATGCAAACGCCATTACCTTCCCCTTAATCATGTTTTAATAACAGCAAACCTTGTCATTTGCAGCTTGATGGAAATTGAAGCACCTCCAGCCAGCCATGCAGTCCTTTTGTTTTGGCCTCCCTCCCTCTCTCTCTGTGTGGAGAAAGTCAAACCCCCTCAGCAGGAGCTTGGTATG